CTATGTTGTGTTTCTATCACTGGAGGGCGATAGAGCCTCACCGCTGTGATTGAATACAGCCACTAATGAGGTGCACACACTTCTGTTGTGAGTGTGTGTGCGTGTGTGTGTGCATGTGTGTGTTTGTGTGCGTGTGTGTGTGCGTGCATGTGTGTGTTTGTGTGCATGTGTGCGTGTGTGAGTGTGCGTGTGTGTGTGTAAGTGTGTAAGTGTGTGTGTGTGCGTATGTATGTGTGTAATGTTGCCGCTGGACTGATGGAGGTCTGATAGCGTCTCTTATCGAGCTCTCAAATGAAGCTGCGTGTCTCTCTGCAGGTAGATATTGAGCTCTGTGTTTCTCGCTGGTATTGAGCGCTGTTATTCCAGGCTTTGTCTGTTTGTGCATGTGCTTATTGGCCTTTGAGCTTCAGCAGGGCTGATATCGGTCTGAAGGGTTTGTTGTATTAGCAGAAGAGCAGCAGGACTCTCCGTTATTGAACACCACGCATTGAACCTTCATGCTTTACCGCCTGTGTTATGAAAGATGGAGATGATGATGGACAGAGAGAGACGGAGAGAGAGATGGAGAAAGAGAACAAATACTCACTCTTACAAAAACATTTACCATTTTTGTTGTTGTTGCTGAAATACATCATCTGTGGGAGCCCATTTTCACCATTTAGTAAAGATAATTGCGTCTACCTACAGTTCGGATTTTGATTATTTTTTCTTTCTTCTCAGTTTATATCTCACAATTTTGTTTTCTTGCTTCCGCCATAATAATTTAGACTTTTTTCTTGCTTTTGCAAGTTTATCGCAGAATTTTGAGTTTGTCTTACTGCTCTGGGTTTATATCTCACGATTCTGAGTTTGCATCTTACGATAAATCTTTTTGTTTCTGCCAAAGAATACAAAATAAAAAAGGCAATTGCAACTTTTTTATGTCACAATTCACAATTCTGAGTTTATTTCTAACAGCTTTCTGAGCTTTTAACTCATAATTCTGAAAAAAAGTCAAAATTGTGATATTAAACCCAGAACTGCGAGAAAAAAAAAAATCTGAATCGTGAGACAAAAAGGTACAATTAACTTTGTTTTTGATTTTGTGGCAAAAATGGCTTCCGTAATAATCTCAGCTTAATTTTTTTAATTGGTCATTGGGATTTTGTAGCCAATCAACTGTGCTGTAAATGTCATGTGACTCACAGGAAATGACATCATGGCAGCACTGATCAGCTGTGATGTTGACTCACTGACTCAATGTGAAAGTGCAATATTATATTTGTAGAGTATTTTTAGCTGTGTAGACTAGATCAGAAGTGTATTTAAATGTGACATCCTCCAGGACTGAACAGCAGAGACCAGCATTTATTTGAAACAGAATCTTTTGTAACATTATAAACATCACTTTTGATGCATTTCATGCATATTTGTTTGATAAAAGTATTATTTGCTCATACGTTTCATTTGCTCAAAAAGTATTATTTGCTCATAAGTTAAACATAAGACGTCCTCCTCATTATAAACAAAGCATTTATTTAATCAAGCTCCAAAAACGGCTCGTTTTGGATCCAATGGGACAAGGTGACATCACCTAGCACCATTCATTTGCATAAACACGCCTCCAGATGAATACATCAGCATAGGCCCCGCCCACTGGCGTTCAGTCACTTAAAAAAGTGTTGCGTCAAAAGCAAATAGAAATGACAATCACTGCGCTATCTTGTCTACACTGGATACAGTAAACAGATGTGCGTTCACTTTCTGTCTGTCATCAGGACAAATGGAGTGAAAGAACGTTTGCGTTTGGTTTAAACAGCTCGTTCAAGTCTGTGTACAGATATCAGAAGGATCCCAGCGTAAGGAACAAGTGGACAGTTTATTGTTAATGGCGTCCCAGATTGTGTCGGAGGGTTTTGTTTTGTCTGGAAATAGCCGTTTAATTTTGATTATGTTTGTATTACACTCAAAACATGCAATAGCAAGGTGGCGTTGATTGTTTACTATGCAGTGACGTTAGCCAATCATAACAGTGGCTGATTACTGACGAGCCTTAAAGGACACGCCCCTTTTAAAACCAGCTTGTTTTAGACCGCAGGGTCAGAATGAGGGTTGAAAATAATAATTTTTCCACATGATTATTAGTATTATTATTTTTTTTGTGCAACAAACTTTATTAACCTTATAAGTAAACCTCAAAGAACATATTAAAATGTTAAAAACAAATCCATGTTATGACCCATTTAACACAAAGTGACGGATGCAAATTCAGATTAGCCTTTATTCCACCGTCTCTCTGCTCAAACGCACACCTACAGCTCGGCTGAAAGCGTCTTCCAGATCAATCATGGCTGGTATTTAGACTCTTCCCGCTCTCTTACATAATTCCTAATCCTGGCATTCAGCGCAGACACGGGCCAGATTCACATTTAAAGCGTCTGAATGAGGATCTGGAGCTCTTTTCACTGCTCTTCAGTGCTTTAGTTTGCAGCTATTGAACCAGATATTTCTGCTGTTTCTGCCTGAGCGCGTGTTTTAATCTTTTAATTGTTTTCATAAATCAGCTGCTGATATATATAGCATTTATGGATGAAGCCGTTCATGTTAGTAAGTTATATAGACATTATGTATGTTTTTTTTCCAATTCAAAATTATTTAATTTAATTTTATTTTATTTATTTACAGATAATACATTTTATTTATTAATACATTTATTTTATTTTATTTACAGATAAATATAAAGTTTAAAAGAACAGAATTTATTTGAAACTGAAATCTTTTGTCACATTATAAACATCACATTTTGAACAATTTCATGAATCTTTGCTTTATAAAAGTATTATTTTCTTTTTGTTTGACCCCTGATGAAGCTGATGCTAATATCTAGAGAGAGACTGATGGTTTATTTAATTTAATTTAATTTAATTTTATTTTATTTAATTTTATTTTATTTTTCCCTTAAAGTAATTTGAGTCAGTCCTTTTATTATATTCATACTACTAATATAATAAGGCAATATTCAGCAAGGATGCATTCAATTGATCAAAAGTAAAGACATTTACAATGTTACAAAAGATTTTCAGCAGAAGTAATGATGCTGAAACTCAGCTTTGCATCACAGGATTAAATAATGTTTTAAAATCTATTACAATAGAAAAGAGTTGTTTTAAACTGTAATAATATTTCACAATATTACTGTTTTTACTGTATTTCTGATCAAATAAATGCAGCCTCAGTGAACAGAAGAGACTTCGGGAACCAGATGAGTCCTCTGCACAATCTGACTCTGCTGCAGCCTAGAATTAAACTGCTGGTTTCGTCCGGCCAGAGGAGAACGGAACACTATTTCAACACACTACTTCCCTGTTTAATACTGTAAAGCTGCTTTGACACAATCTGCATTGTAAAAAGCACTATATAAATAATGGTGACTTGACTTCTTTCAAAAACATTACAAATTTTACTGACTAGACAGTAACTGACAAGTTATTATATAGTGTTCAAATACTTAAAAATACCTGTCAACAAATAATTACAAAGAAACAACATTTTTAAGTAGAAAACATGATATAGTATTTTCTTGTAAAACATAAAACTGCAGTATTTTTGTTGTAATGCAGTAATTTTTACAGTGTAGTATGTTGGGTTTATAGCTGTTTTTTTTTTAATGGAGTTACACTACAGTATTGTAAATAAGTATTTAAATCTTATACTGTGGCACAACGCAGTCTTGAGCATCTGAGACTGGAATGATCCGTTTTATAATGGAATATTATAAAGTCAGAGACTTTTTTCCGTTTCATTGTCACACTTTAGAAAGTTCTTCAACACACACACGCAAGCAAGCACGCACACACTCACGCACACACGCACACACACACACACTCAGACACACACACACACACACTCACTCACACACACACACACACTCACTCGCACGCACACACACACACACACGCACGCACGCACGCACGCACGCACTCACACACGCAGAGCGCTGTCCCCTGTGTGGCAGCAGATTGAGGTTGATTTGAGCTTCATTAATGATGGTGTGAGCAGCTCGCTGAGGACAGACGCGTTCCTGAAGTTTCCGTGACGTCAAGCGCTCCTGTCGCTAGCTCCTCCTGCTGGGATGGTGAGATGCTGTAAATGTGCTATTACCAAAATAAAGCATGAGAACGTCACGTACAGAGAGTCATTCGAGGCTGCTGAGTCCCGTATTGCTTGAACAGCAGGATTTGGTCATAGTTCCTGTTATTATCCAGGACTTTGGTTTTCTGATGGCAGAAAGGCCAGTGTGAGTAAAGAAGGCCATGTTTTATGACTTTTCTTTCTTGCGCTCAGATGCATGAATTATCAAACACACTTAAAAAATTAAAGAATCAATCATAGTTCACATGCATAAATTAAAGCATTTATTCCTGAATCCATCAAACATTCAGAAGGCTTTAATATCTTTTCTCTCCCGTCTCTTGTGTTTGGATGAGATGCTCTACTGTTAGTTTAGATGAAGAGCTGACAGAATAATTAGGAAACTCAAATCCTCATCTCATATGGAAATGCTGATGTGTATTTATCACAGTGAGGGCCTCAGTCTCTCCATCATGGTGACAAAAACACTGTGTGTCAATATTAGTTTGTTTGCGTGTGCCGTTAAAGTCTATTTATTTATTTATTTATTTTTATTTTTTTATAACATATACTGTATTTTATATATTTACACACACACACACACACACACACACATATTGTTAGCAAGAACAAATGTCAGAAAACTTTTTCTTTTGAATGGTTGTGATTGCAGAAAAATGTTTTTTTGCTTGACCACCCTAACCAGACAAACTTTGATGTTTTGTTTTTTTGCAGCTCAGTTTCTATTATAGCTCTTCTTTTTGCTCTGAGGAGGAAGTTTTGAGTTCTGAACTGTACAATATGTTTTCATTATTCATCAAGCTCTTTTATCTGACAAGATCAATGAAGGTATGCTTCCTAATGCCTGCGCTCTCTCTGTGTCTCTGCAGCTCTTGACGTCCGTGTCCCAGAATCCCCTGCGGTGGCTCTGTTCGGGTCGGACACCGTCCTCAACTGCTCTTTCTCGGCCGTCTCAGAGTTTAATCTGTCTGATTTGAGCGTGTTCTGGCAGCTCTCGGACACCAAGCGTGCCGTTCACAGCTTCTGGCAGAGCCGCGATCAGCTGAGCGATCAGGAGGAGCGCTTCTCCAACCGCACCAGCCTGTTCCCAGATCAGCTTGTGTCCGGAAACGTCTCACTGCTGCTGAGGAGAGTGCGTGTGGCGGATGAGGGAAGCTACTCGTGTTTCGTCAGGGTTCAGACGTACGGCAGCGCAGCCATGCTGATGCAAGTCGCAGGTAACCAATCACAAATCACACGGGACATTCAACTTTTCAATTCAAGTTTATTTGTATAGCGCTTTCCACGATGCAAATCGTTGCAAAGCAGCTTTACAGAAAATGTTAAGTTTCTACATTATATTTAGGAGTAGGTTATTAGTGGTGACTATGGCAGAAATGTACAGTAAGAATCATGCAGTTAGTTACAAATTACATACAATCAAACAGACGGTGAACACTATTAACAGCAATGATCATATGTTGCGATTAAACTTAAGCAAAATTTGGTGGTTTTAAATTTAGAAGTTTCATCTGGTCTTGTTGAGATATATAGTTGAGTATCATCAGCATAACAGTGGAAACTAATCCCGTATTTTCTAATAATATTACGAAGGGGCAACATGTATATGGAGAATAGCAGAGGACCTAGGACAGATCCTTGTGGCACTCCATACTTTACTGGTGATAATTGAGATGACTCCCCATTTAAAGGCTGCTTTTATTTGACCAAAATAGTTAAAAAATTTGATATATTATTACAGTTTAAAACAGCTGTTTTCTATGTGAATATCTGTTAAACTGTAATTTATTTCTGTGATCTGCAGCTGTATTTTCAGCATCATTACTCCAGTCTTCAGTCACATGATCCTTCAGAAATCATTCTAGTATTCTGATTTGCTGCTCAAGAAACATTTATTTGAAATAGAAATATATAATGTCCTTACTGTCGCTTTTCATCAATTTAATGCTTCCTTATTTAAATAAAAGTATTCATTTGTTTTCCTTTTTCATATATTATGTATCCCAAACTTTTGAATAGTAGTGCATCAGTTTCCACAAAAATATTGTGCAGCACAGCTGTTTTCAACATTGATAATAATCAGAAATGTTTCTTGAGCAGCAAATCAGCATATTAGAATGATTTCTGAACATCATGTGACACTGAAGACTGGAGTAATGATGCTGAAAATACAGCTGCGCATCACAGAAATAAATTACAGTTTAACAGATATTCACTTAGAAAACAGCTATTTTAAATTATAATAATATTTCACATTTTTACAGTATTTTTGATCAAATAAATGCAGCCTTGGTGAGCAGAAGATACTTTTTATTCAAAAACAATATATATATAAAAAAGTAATCATTCCAATCATTTGACCATTAATGCACATGCTACTTTGTTCATATGCATTCATCAAATGTTATAGATTGTTGCTTTAAAGTTAAACTGCTCTGTTAGCAGCATTTGTTGTCAAATAATAATTTAGACTTTTCACAGTTTTTTAAAGCAAACATCCCACTTACAGTAACTCACAGAGCCTTATATTTGTGTTAAAACATAACTTGAATTATTCAGTAATAATGATGATTGTTTTCTATGTGTTAGGATAACTAAAAGCCTAAATACAAATATTGAACTTAATAATCATCATATAAAGTGAACGTGTGTCTTCAGAATACTTGGATTAAACCACTTGTTTTATGAACTTTTTGAAGCATTTAATCAAGCTCAAAATATCTTCATTTGTGTTTGGAAGATGAACCAAACTCTTATGGGTCTGGAAGGACTTTGAATGAGTGACTGATGATACGTTTTTCTGTCCAAATTCACAGCTACATCAGCACAGCACACTAATTAAGACACACACAGAAAAATAAATAAATAAATAAAATGTGCTAATTAATGTGCAAAAAAAAAATCTAAAAGTAGTTAGCCTCACTAATTGACTGGTCGTTTGCTGGTGTGATTCTACCGTAAGCGCCTTATTGTTGCATTTTTTAATAAACTGAGAAACAAGTTGAAATAATTTTCTGTGATGATCGACATTATGCCACAGACGCTATCAATAGAGCTTAAGCCGTATTGAACCCGAGCGGTCCTTTAATCTAGAAAATCGACTGTCTACAGAATCTACTGCTCCTATAGAATACATATCATCTATATGAGACGGCAATCAGATATTTATAACTGAAATATTATTGCTGGCAGTGCTGCGGGCCTCTGAACGGACGCCGGATATCAAGCACTGTCATTATGTACTGTTTATGTACTTTACAGTAATGTGTGTTATTATGCATATGACATACAGTGTGTGATTGATGTTGTTGCACATCTTGAGGATTGTCATAAAATGCTTCTGCAAAGGCCCAGTAATGAGCACGATCATTTATATGCGATTCCCTGATAAATATCCAGTCGTATTGATTGTTGGGATTTGCTGTGATCGATGGCGCTCAGCTGGAGCTGCTATATGTGTTATTATTTTTATGGCTGAATGCACTCAGACTCACCGGAGTACATCATTATTTATGATCTATAGATGGCATTTTCCCATTCTCCTCTCTCTGTCTCGCCTTTCTCTTTCAATGCACTGAATTAAGTGATATTAATGCTCTGCGACTATGCTTCTGTACGTCTAATGAAGATTAAACAAAAACAATCGTGTCATTTTCACTCTTCTACATTATAATGCTTAATATTTATTAGCGGGATTATTTTGAGTTCACATTCAGAGTAAGAACTGCAGTGGTTTCTTGTTCTGGAGATTTTCAATTAGCACCACGGATGTGTGTCGTCTGTAATCGTTATATTCTCATATATGGTTTATGTGACACTTAAAGGACTAGCTCACCTAGAAGTGATCACTCTGTCATTGTTAACTCTCCTCGTGTCATTATAAACCTGTGTGAGTTTGTTTCTTCCGAAAGAAAGATGTTTTGAAGGATGTTAGTAACTGAAACATTTGGTGACCATAGAAAACAACAAAAAACCCAAACAAACTATCTTTGTTACGCAGAAGAAAGAAAGTCATAAAAGTTTGAATGATCTTTTTCCTGAAAATGCTAGTTAATTTTATTGCATTGGACTAAAACGCACTGAATTTGCTCACATAGGCTATAACAACTTTCCACAAAAACTGATTTACTATTATTAATATTATTATTATTATTAATATTCTTTTTTTTATCCCACCTTGTTAAACTTGTTGTGTTCCCAGTCGACACATTAAGTGTAACAATGTGGGGGTTTGATTTGCCCCATACCTTATATTATATTACGCATACCATATTGCGTGAGTAACGACAAGCTGCATCAGAGCCAAATAACGCATTTCAAAATTAAATTATTTTGAAATAATTTTTCAATTATTGAAAATGACCGATACCGTTAAATCGTAAAAATGCTTAATATCAGCACTGATAATCGGCCAGGCCGATAATCGGTCAACCCCTAATTTATTTATTTAAATTTTTTTTTTTTTTATTAATACTTTTCTACTTTTTACTCTTATATATATATTAGGCAAAATAAATATCAAACTTTCTATAGACTTTAATTTGCACATATTTTGAAGAGAAACAGCAAGATTTGTATAATATCTGATTAAATCTCTTCAGTTGAGCCGTGTGAGGCACATTTTATTATGGATGCACGCGCTTTATTTCACGTCTTTTGGACTGTTGAAAAAAAAAAAAAAAAACACCCGCCTACTGCAATGATAACGCTTGGAGGAGCCAGGACATTTTATAATATAACTCCGATAGGATTCGTCTACAAGAAGAAAGTCACCTAGGATGCCTCGAGGGTGAGTAAATCACAGGCTAATTTTCATTTTTGGGTGAACTAACCCTTTAAAGAGAATATAATACTCGCACTAGACTTAAGTCAGTTATGATGTTCTTTGGTAATGTAAATGTTCTTTACTCGCTTTGAATAACTAAGGGAATGTAACCGTTTGATTAACTGCTCGTCGTCAAACATTTCAAGAACATTCTTCCTCTCCTGAAAGATTTGCGCACGTATATTTCTCTGTCTCCTCAGCGTCATCACAAGCCCCTGCTGGCAACTCCTAACCACTTGAGAGACCTCTCGAGCGGTCTTAAAGAACTGGGAGAGTAAGAGTGATTCTTAGCTTTAAGAAATTTGATAACTTGCTTTTATACTTAAGTTTGAAAGTAGGAGTAAATTTAATGAATTCTCAGCACTTAAGACTAAAATGGCACTTTGAGAATCTTGATAAATACGAGCCCTGGTCTTGAGTTGAGAGTCAGACAGCAGCTAGAGGTTATAAAGTCTTCTTGGCATCAGTTCCGCCGACCCCACAGCCGTCTTACTGCTTGCCCAGCGCCTAACTCTTGTGTTTGCTGAATGGAGATTGTCTGTGGGAATAAGGCGGTCTCGGGCTCCCTGCGTGTGTGCGCTCGAGGGACGACGGCGCTGATTTCTTCATCACCCCAACACAAACACTTTACGAGCGGCCCGTTTCCCAGAAGCCTCCCCGCCTGTGGTGTGGCGTCCCTGCTGAGGTGCGTGTCAGCAGACGATTTCCGTCTGATCTTGAGCCATGTGTGTTTTATGCTAAGCTCCTAGAATGTAATTAACAATTTAATGGGAATCATGTCGAGCCGGTCCCCAGGTGAACGCAGCGGTAGATCGCTCTGCTTCTTGCCCTCACTCGCTTCAGCTGCTTTATCTGCAAACTCTCCGTTCTGACACTGAAACAGGCCCTTCACGTGGTTTCTGCGAATCTGATGAGTTTTCATTCAGCCCATCTGCTGCTTTTGTTCAGGCCAACGTGAAAAAAAATTATTTTTAATAATTATTTTTAATTAATTATATATATATATATATATATATATATACAGTCAAACCAAA